GGGAACCCCCCCCCCCCTCCCCCCGAACTTGGCACCGTTTATTCGGCATACACCTGAACAATTTTTGTCCTAATTACTCACATGAACTTGGCAATTTAATAGCCTCATCACCAGGACAATGACATGGCAAAGAGCGTGGACTCGCTCTCTTTTAGGCAAGTATTGGGTGGAGGTTAGTCAGGACTTGGCGCAACTTCAGCTTACCGATGACATGACCATTGATAGGAGAGGGTAGAGGTCGGGAATTAGAGTAGAAGGTTGTCAGGTAATTGCGCCTATTTCTTTTCCGTACCAGTAGAATTAGTATTGCTCTTGTATTTCCTTGTGCTTAGTTTTTCTTTTACTATCTGCTATTTCTGTTTCTTATTATTATTATCCCTATTCTTGTTTCTCTGTTTCTTATTATTATTATCCCTATTCTTGTTTCTTTCGCTTCAGTTAATCCATTATCGTGTTGTTGTTATTGCTTGCTGCTATTGCTTATTTTTCATCTTTGCTTGAACCAAGGGTCTATCGGAAACAAACTCTCTATCCTCACAAGATAGGGGTACGGTCTGCATACACTCTACCCTCCCCCAGACTTCTCTTGTGGGATTACACTAGGTTTATTGTTGTTGTTGCAAGTGGGCTATATTTCAATAGTTAATTATTTTTGAAGAAGTTAATAGATTAATTAAAGACATCAAGAAGATGCAAGAGTTAGAAAAGATGAGAACTGCAAAAGCGGATCAGCTCCAATGCCTACACAGAAATGTTACAGTGTGGAATTAAACCCACGACACAGTAGTCAATTTGAACACTCTTCGCCACAGAAACTCCGTTATTTTTTGCCAAAATCAAGTTTTTTAGCCAAAATAATGGAGAGTTCCAAGTGTATTTCTTTTATTTCTTCTTTAGATGCAAATAGATATTTATCCTAACGGTATATTTTTGTAACTTTTGGCCTAAATCTGTACTACAATTTGGCTAAAGCTCCTTTACTTTTAGCCAAAATAAAAAAGTTTCCAACTGTGAATTTTATTTCTTTTTTAGATGCAGCGACTATTTATTTCAACATATACTCTTTCTTTTCCGAGCAAAATCTACATGGAAGTTGGTAGAGCTCCATTACTTTTAGCCAAATAATAAAAAAATCAGCCAAAATAATGGATTTTCAACTATGTATTTCTTTTTCTTTCATCTTTAGCTGCAATGGGGATGTGTTTGAAACATGTTCTTTGTTGGTCCAAATTTATAATAAAAAAAATAAAAAGTTGGCTGATTAGCCAAATAAAATATATTTAGCCTAAATAATGAAGTTCCAAACATGCGTTTTACATATTTGGCATGAAAGAAAATTATCCAAAAAATTAATGAATTTATATTTAAAAAGGTAAAAAAATATTTTTGTCCACATGGCAGCGAGTGCATCACATCTCCTTGAGATGAGGTCGTCCCTGGGCTGAAGGCTACCAAACAGCCAAGTATAGGTGGTAATTAGGACAAAATATTTTATAAGCAGTGCCAAATTCGGGGGTCCCAAAGTATTAAAATAATTCCTAAGATGAGTTATGTGCAAATATGGAGATAAAATAATGCGCATATTTGACAGAAGGCACAAGTAGCACACATAAAGGTAGAATAATGAGATATACATCGAGATTGTTTGGTCACGTCCAACTTGGACCTCCAATTTTACCGGTCCGAAAGTGTGACAACATTATGGCCGAAGGTACTATAAGTGGACAAAATAGATCCTAAAAACATGGAGGAAAGTCTCAAAAGACCAACAATTTCTAGGAATTCACGGACTAAGCGAAAAGAATAAAATACAACGAAAGAGCAAGGTGTCTTTATTTTTATGCCAACTAGTTGAATTATAGTTGTTATTAGATCACTTACACTAGGTTCGGTGTTTGAGAGGAGTGTTATAAGTTTGTAAGAGATCTTTTGGAAGTGCAAGGATGTATGTGACATTTAGAGAATCTCTAGTTTTAGAGAATACCTAAGTTGTCCTAACAAAAATTAGTAAGTAGCGGAATGAAATTAGCCCAAATATGGAAAATTGACGTGCTTTGACTTTTCAAAATTGTTTAGATAAGAGCTTTGACTTGGCATTTTGGGGAAGAATTAACTTACAGATCAACTTGGCATGTCGAACTCATTGCTTATTCATCCAAAACAAAAATGAGTAACCGGTTGATCTAATACTTCAGATCTGATTACCAACAGTGTAAAAGAGAATCAGAAGAAAATGACCCTCACCCTGAGGACATGTTTACAGAGAGCCTCCACTGCAGGTGGGGACCAGGACTTCCCCACAGATTTTTTCACCAGAAATCTGGAGATCCAGGCTGGTAACAGTGCCAGAATTGCTGCAAGTGAGCTTAGGCCCGTACATAAAGTCCGAGACCTACAGAAGTTACAGCCGAAGAGCACCAAGTTTCGTCACTGTAATTGCATGAGGAAAACAATGCCTACACAAATGTCACACACAAACAGGAAAAGTAATGGTAATATACTCAAAAATAAAAGTGCCTCTAGATTTGTTTATTGGATACTTTGAATAGATGCCCACATATTCAGTCCTAAATGAATAAACTAGAAACTGTCAAAACTCTAAATCCACAATTCAAGCTCAAAGAGATACGTAAACCAGTTGCAAACAGTCAGCAGAATGGACATACAAACTAGAAGAACAGAAGTTACAGGTCGAAAAATAAAAGCTATATAGCCAGTAACTAGTTGGAAATGTTTATCAAGTCATATGATCTGCAAAGAGAATATGAATTTTCAAACAAAAAGCAATCTGATAGTCTGATCACATGCTCACTGCCGAAGTAATATGATATTAATGGGATTCTATAACTGTTTCATTAAGAATTGGAAACAAAGGTTCAGTAGTCTGCAGTAAGAGAAAAAAGGAAAAACTGATTGGTCTTCAAACGGCAAGGAAGGAAAATAAACAGCTAAAGTAGAAAGCTCTCACTTCACATAGGTAACAGACAAGGGAAAAATCAAAGAGATTTACACTGCAATCTTCTTAATAATAGCCTGTGTTGAAGACTTGGTGTTTACAGCTAGAAATGGATACAAGCAAATGCAGTATGTGACCTAGAAAAAAATAGAAATATCAGAATGAGGATTTTGGGGGAAAAAGGCATAATAGTGAAAAACCTTGTACCAATATAAAGAGGATGTAGTCTTCACCTTTTCCTGGAATCTCCTAAAAATGTCCAGAGATATGTATGAGCCAATAGAATGACCAACCTAAGAACGGAAATCAAAATCACAACACATAAAACTTCTAATACATGCAGAAAACGAGAACCTGACTATCTACATTGATAAAATGTTTCATTTTTCTTACTGATTTTTGTGAGTTTGGATTGATATCTGAATTTAACAATGAAATGATGGTTCAGAACGAGAATCCAAATAACACGCACATAAGAGTATATATTAATGCAACTTCTGAACTTACCAGTACTAGAGGAACTTCAACATCCTGAAGCTCATGCTCTATGAAGTTCAGCTGGAAAAGGGGATTTTGCAACAAAATTAAATCAAGAATGCAGACTGATATAGAACAGTATTTTGAATTGCATTTTGGGGCGAGAAGCCTTTTCTTTTGTTTAATAAAACTCCATACATTTTATTTATTTATAACTATTCTTTACCTTTTCAAGGTCAAATTTGAGTACTACTTATACTTGACGCAAGCTAAACTAGCTCAAGAATCAGGACAACCAATATTCATTATAACACTAGCGGATCATTGGACTAACTCAAAATTTTAACTTGAGCAACATGTTGAGTTTAACCGGAAAAGGAGCAATATACCAGCTTTTACTAGAAACCCAACAAAAAGCAATGAATAGAAAGTGAATCAACATCAAAGAAAAAAATATGCCAAAGGACGGACGCATAAAAAAATGATATCCAAAAACTAATGTGATAGAAATACGAAAGGGTAAAGCAAGAAGAGGGTACCAAAGTCATTAAAATTGGTCAGAGGATGATTTCTTCAAGTTCAAGGTCGCCGATCCGTCTTGAAGTTACGAAGTTAGGGCTCTTTTTCTTTGGTGGGGATGAATTTGGGTATTAAAGAAGAGGGTTTTAGAAAAAACAATCGGAGTTGTCAAAAATCTCTCTAGTTTTTTTAAGTTTCAATAGGCGGGCATGTGCCTTACTTTCTAGGGCATCACCCAACAGAACCTACACCCCCTACTATTTCCCCAATATGTTTTTGGTATTGCCCCGCCCCAGGACTCGCCCCAAAACGCATTTCAAAGCACTAGTTACTACTCCCTTCGGTCCACAATAAGTGACCAATTTGCTTTTGGCACATCCATTAAGGAAATACTAAATTCTAGAAGAAAATAGTTAGTGTGACTAAACTACCCTTCTTTAAATGTTGCACCATAGTTATAGTAGTACTTACTTTCTCTTCTCAAATGTGAGGAGTAAATGACGTTTTAGGGATACGTATCTAAGGGTAATTTTGGAAAAACTAATTGAATTTTTTCTTGATTATATAAATGGACACTTATTTTGGACCAAAATAAAAAAGCAAATTGGTCACTTATTGTGGACCGGAGGGAGTACAATTTTGCACTGAAATATATGTTGATGAAGAACTTAGATTTTATTAATTGGAAACTAGAAACATTGCCACTCCATTAGATTGAGCATTACAAAGCAGAGGATATAAAGTTTTAACATCAAACATATGATGGATAAATATCTGCAACTGAAATGTGGATTTCTGAAAAATATTAGGAATATTAAAATAATTTTAAGTGTATTATGCTAATTATAAAATGTAAAATTGAATATCAATGGGACTTATGCCACGTGGCTCGGGATTTACACCTCGCCCCATGTTGGGTAAAACATCTCACCTCACGCCACTCGCCTTTTAAAGCACCGATAATATAGACATTGAACTACCATATTCAGAAGAAAAAAGGAATATTCTGGAAAATTGAGAAAGAATAGATTAAGCTAATCCTATAATTAGAAGGAATAAAAACAGTTCTCGACTACATCCTTCAGCCACAAGTTGAAGGGTAATTTCAACTTTCCATTAACATAGAAATAACACTATCGAGGACAAATTAGTTATTGGTTCCCAAACCCAGAAATTTTTTGAAAAAAGTATTACCACTGATATGCTTTTCACCATCCCACCTGTCACATCCCCTGCCCCCTTCCCCTAAAAGAAAAGATTTCTCTAAGATAATAATATGAGGTAACAAAATTACCTTGTGATCTGTTTGTTCTTGCAGTGAAAACAGCCTTCCGTGCTCCCAATTCTAGCAATTGGAACAAATCATGCAACTTTGTTAGCCATGCATTGATGGGGCATTAGTGCCAGCTGAAACTTTAAAACAACATATTATTATACACCAACAAATATTCATCTTTAAAGTCTATCAAGTCTATGGGAAATCTTCAAAAGGTCAATCAAAGACAGTAAATCATCCAACGGTCTTCACATGAGATGCAAACTTTGAACTTGAAGTTTGAAGAGTTACAAGGAGAAATGAAAACAGAAAAGAAGGACAAAGTAGCCAGAGCCCCTTAGGGCAACTCAAATTTTTTTTATAAAATGAATACTACATGTTCCAATAGAACGATGTGTGCAACCTAACTTGCAGAGCAATTACGACTTAGCTCACTTCTGATGCGTGCGTGAATAAAGTCCTACATGGAAAGTAGAAAAAAAAAACTATTTATAAGGAGTTAGATACTCTTAATGGTGTGAGGCCTTTTAGGGAAAATCCTGTGGGCTTGGCCTAAAGCGGATAATATCACACCATGTTAAGAGTACCTTTGGGCCGTTTTAGCCCAACAACTAGTATCAGAACTAATGGTTTGGCAGGACGAGTATAGAGATGGCAGAGGGTAATGGCGCAGGGCCAGGCTTAGTGCCTTTGTCCGTCTATGGGCCAGCTTACTACCTTTACCCGTAGCTTCAAAGACGCATACACAGCCTCTCCTCTGGACTTCGGTTGGGTGACACACAGTCAACCTCCAAATTAGCGCATGAATCGTGATTGGTCATATGGAACTTAGTTCAAGGGGAAGAATGTTGGGTATGTGCGAACAAAGTCCCACATGGAAAGTAGAAAAGAAAAAGAAGCCACTTATAGCAGTTGGATACTCTTAATGGTGTGAGGCCTTTTGGAGAAAACCGTGTGGGCTTGGTCCAAAGTTGACACTATCACATCATGTTAAGAGTATCTTTAGACTGCCAACAACTTCATCCCTTTTGATAGACATTCTTTTGGTTCCGCTTAGCATAATGCTAATAAAGTTCAGAAGTTGTAAGCTGGTGCAACTATTTCTGTACCGAATTAGTCTCCTCAATGCTTGTATTTAAGAAGAGGTTCTAGTCACACCGTGATCCCTTGTCATGGATAGATGCACAGTTTTGCACGTATATCAAAGACATGAAAGGTATATATAGATGATAGACCTGTCTCATAGGTACACAGTGTTTTCGAGTTAATATTCTTTGCATAAAAGTTCAAAGTAAACTGAGGCATCTAGTGGTGAATATTCTTGGCATTTGCATGCAGAACAAATCTGGTTTAGCTTCATTAGAACTTTGTCCACAAAGATGCAGAATTGACGACTTATACTTATTATTTAAGGCACTTTTTAGATTTTATAACTACTCCTACTTATTTTTCTCCTGCAAAAGAAACTGTCTTTTACGAAATACATGGCAAAGACTAGGGATCTCAATCTGTTGTACCACGGCGTTTTAGTCCAACAAGCAGGAATGAAGCTTAAGATTTAAGAATAGGGAGTTAAGGAAAACAGTTATTGTGGGAATTGAGAAATGTAAACATCGATACAAAAGTTAAGGAATGCAAAAATACATTTAACCATCATATTCACAATTTGTAAGGGTCAAAACTCAATTCTTAAAATCTTACAGGTCGACTATCTGCACATGCTCCTCCTAACTCCCCTTTACTAAATAGCAAATGCAGAAGGAGCTTCATAAACTCCAGCGACTTTTCAGAAACTACTTGGTGGTGAATGCGGGTAACACTCATTTGTGGATGTATCTGATTATGGGTTTATGGGGCAACTTTTTGCTAATTGTAAAGAATTTCGAAGAATCCACGTGAAGCTCCCAGACCCATATTGCACCTGTTTGACTCAGCATAGTATCCATGTAACATGGTACTCAAAGAAAGAAGGAGGTGGTGAATGCTGGTACTGGGAAATGAAGGAGATGACAAATCATAGATTTAAGAATCAAAATACATAGTGATTTGCAGTTAAAAGTTAATTGTGGTCATCAAAAGGTCTTTATGTCAGACTTAAACTAATATTTACTTCATTCAGAATGTGGGAAATGAAGAAAATGAGGTTAATCTCAAACCAAAGATGCAATCTCAAGACAAAGTACGGAGGTTGATGAATAGAACTCCCACTTGGCCACATTTTGGAGGTTTTACCAGTAGCATTTCTTGTCTAAACTGAAAGCCAATATTAGGTTGAGGGAAGCAGCACACGAATAGGTGGATTTGCATTCTTGTATGTTTGGATAAAGGGCAGGAGCGCTCTTTCGCTCCCACCAGTACTTATTGTAAGGGGTGGGGCAACCGGTTAAAATCAAATATCCAACAGCCGCTTTCCTTAGAAAAAGCTAAAATTCTATTTAAAGAAAATAGAGTAATACCCAAAATACAACCAAAACTTCAAAATAAAGCAATAATAATGAAAAAGGTACTGATTTACTTAAAAGGTCCATGTTGGAACATCATAAGACAAGCCAAGAAATTTATAAAAGTACTTGTTTATTTAACAAATTAGATTAGGAAAAGAAGATTCACCAAGAATTTCAGATATAGTTATTTGAAACAAACATGGAAGAGGCAAAAAGAACAGAAACAAATGGATAACGAAAATGCAGCATTATTTGCTAAGTTGCTCAGACACGGGTGCGGATGTCCGACACGGGTACGGGTCTAGAGGTCGGATCCTTCTAGAAGTAAATTGTAAGATTCCGGGATACGGATCCTAGTATGGATACGGGTGGGGGATCCGGCTAAAAATAATTCAAAAAAATAAAAATATCTCTAAATTATGAGAAATTGTGTGGAATACTTATGTACAACTTGTAAAGTGTGGATTTCTTTTTTATCCTCAAGCTGTAGATAAGTAAATGATTGGTTTCTTAAATAAGGTATGCTATTTTCTTTAAATTTACCCTAATTTTGGTTCTGATTTCGGGAATCAATTTGTATCTCGTCTCGATTTTTTCCGTCCGCTGTGGATAAGGACCTAAAATTATTTGACCAGATCCGGTATGGATCCCATACCCACACCCATATTAGTGTCGTGTTGACACGGGTGCGGCACTTAAACTGCTGTGTCGGAGCAACTTAGATTATTTGTACTTAGTCATAAGGCGTTCTCATCCTCTACAAATAAAATGATCCAAGAGAAACCATATCTCTTTATTTTACCTTACCATCTTGCTTCACAACCCTGTTGTAAAGCAACATACCTTAAGTTGCTCCATAATATGTAGCCAATGATAGAACGAGTGAACAGCCATATCATTTGCTACTACTTCCATCAAATTCAGAAATCAAAAGACTACTCGATTCCACGATCTAGTTAACTGAGCAACTTCAATACTATGGATAGCTTCATTTGCTGAAATGACATAATTGGCCAAATAAATTAAATAAGCCCAACGGTGTTCAACAAGGCAGAGCTTCTGAAACCAGAAAAAATATTCAGAAGAGCAATTGTATTGCTGCAGTCCATTAGTATAATTCCACATGAAATTCCAACACTCCAGGTAACATAGATTTCATTAGCTAGCCTTATGTATCATTGTAATTTGTACCATGTCATCCTGTAGTGGTTACACTGCATATTCTCTACTTAATCAACGTACTGTCAAAGCAGGTAGGCTGTGACACCTGCAACATTGGAATGGGACAAAGACGTGGAAGGTAACTTTCATCCTTTGGCATTTTTGTTGTAATCTCAACATTTAACTGATTAGCCCGTACACAGACTTGATTACTTGAGTTGACAAGCTCAGAAAAGAAAAGAACATCCATGCCCTCTTGCTCTACTGTAGAGGCCATACATGCCTATCTAAACAATGTCACACAAAATGGCCCCTAGCTTGAGCTTTATATAAGATAAATTTCAACTCTTGCCGGTGGACTTATTCTAATCAAAGCACCACCATTTCATCAAACTCTCAGCTAAAATATGAGGTGCAATTTCTACAATATTGAAATCTCATACTCCTCCTGTCTATAATATTGCAGTCAACCTTCATCTTAGGGATTTATTTCAGGATTGGATAGTAGAATTTAAAATAACACCAAAAATAGATAAGAATAGTTGCGCTATAAAAAGTTGCATACCTATAATATATATGTAACTAGAATTGTCCCTTCTCTAATGGCTTAAACCTTTCACAGCTAAGTTGCTCCGACTCTTCACTTTCGGTGCCACACCCATGTTGACACGACGTGGGTATGGGTGTGGGATCTGTATCGGATCTCGTCAACCGATTTTGGGTACTTTGACCAAAATCGACGGAGAAATTCTGGACAGATACAATGATTTCTGAGATCAAAACAAAAGCTAGGATGAAATTGAAAAAAATGAAATATCTTGTATATAGAAATTTCTATGACAGTCCTTTGCCTTTATCTCCTTCTCGGATCTCCTCTTGATCAATATTTTCTCTTACTAGAAATACATTGTAAGTTTTTCACACAATGCCTCATAATCTACATATATTTTTAAAATTCTTTTTTTAGATATTTGAATTATTTTTGCCAAATCCCCAAATCCGTATCCGTATCCGTATCCGTACCTAGATCTGTAATCCCAAATCTTAAAACTTAGATCATGAAGGATCCGACCTCTAGATCCGAACTCGTACCGGACACCTGCACCCGAGTCCGAGCAACTTAGCTTTATATAAGATGGTTACTCAAGTTCAACACAATATCGGAGCAGACAAAGGTCGTGGCTTTAAGTCTTGTCATCACCCATATAAGGATATTTCCACAGCTTAGCCGAAGAAAAAGAATCAGGTTCACATGCAGGGGGCATGTTGTACATATATACATTAAGATTTAAGAGACATCCAGTAACTCTAGTTCAACATATAAATACTTAAATGATTGCTAAAGAAGAGTTCAAATTTAGCCCTAATGGGACTCAAGAGATAAATCAGTCACAAAAGTTACTATAACTTGTGCTTCGTGGGATAAATCAGCCGCTCAAGGAAAGATAATTAACTAGACATTGGCTACATGAAGTCATTAACTAGACATGCTCTTCCCCCACAAGCCAAAGCTTAGACAGGTATTCAAGTAATCTATTTAATAATACTAGTCCTAAGGTATGCGCTTTGCATGTGTACCCATATCAATGAGTATATAATTTTTAAAACAATATAAATATATTATTAAATAATATGTTTAATTCTGAAATAAATTTTTTAACAAGTATAAGTTCTTGAAAATAATGAATATTGATTTCATTGAGCTAGGCGAAAAGATAAAAAAAAAACTTTTTCAAGAAAATATCAAATTATATTCAATTCTTAAATGTAACGTAACTAGAAGAAAAAAAAACCTTTTTCATGATAGAATCAAATTGTTTTCAATTCCAAAAATTCGTAACTTAAATAAAACAGGAAAGGAAGTGCTTAAATATTTATTTGATAGAAAAACGTTGGAACACTTTGAACCATTAAATGCTACTTTTTAATTTTTTTTTCTTTGCCATTGTAATTTCATATACTTGAATGAGCTGTATGAATAATTGTGTCTCAATTATATAAGTCTCTCCATCGTATTCTTAGGTAATAAAAAGATTTAATAAATAAAATTTTAAGTGATTTCAAAGTTTTAAATATTAGATTTACATGTATATTATTATAGTTATGTTACCTAGTTCAAATTTTAAAGGGATTTACACAAGGTAATATTTTAGTCAATTTATTAGGAATTTCTAATATTAAATAAGGAAAATTTTTACAACCAAAATTTTTAGTTGATTTTAAAATTCTAAATAGTAGAATAATAATTAAACTACAAATTCCTCATCTAGCGTCACTTTTAAAAGAATCAATAGTTGTACCTTTTTTTGTCAATAAAAAAATTGTAGTAGTTTAATTTTTTCCTCGGATGGCTTCGAACCCAAATCTATGGTTGTTGGCGAGATATTAAAACCTTGAAATTTGAATTTCTAAAAGGTATTAACGTAAGTTAGTTCTTGTATTTGGTCCTAAATATTAGGACTTTAATTTGTACAAGGAAGAAATTTAGTTGATTTTAATGTCTTAAATATTAGGTTTTCCTACATAATAATTCAAATGTGGAAAGTTTTAAAAAATAAAATTTTAGTTAATTTCCAAGTCCTACATATTAGGGAAAATAGGTAAATGACAATTTTGACTAGTGTTTCGTGCTTTTGATAGTAAAAAGATTTTTTTTGTTTTGATAATTGTGGTGTCTGGGCTAGCTTGTGCGCACCTCGACTAATTCCACGGGATACCAGCTATCTCCCAACAGCAACAGGTACCAGGTAACTCTGTCCACCAAGGCTGGACAGATTGGAGTAAATCACCTAGTGTTTTTTTGCCTCTGTTGGGATTTGAACCTGAAACCTGTTCTCAACCCACTTCATTGACCACTAGGCCACACCCAGGTGCCCAAAAAAAAAATTATGGGTCATATACGCAGTAAAACTTTTATACAAGTCAAATTACAATTTGTGTTACATTCCAGTTCTGTAATTCGACCAATTATGCCTTACAAAAGGTTGCTCAATTAATACAAATTGTTTAAAACTTAAAATTGTATGTTGTTTTTGTTCAACTTTGATTATTGCACTAAGGAAAACATTTTCCCCAAAAATATTTCCATGAAGAAGTCATTTTGTGGTATTTGGTTATAGGAAGAAAAAAATCTTGAAGTATTTTTAGTTAAATAGGTAGTAAATGAGAGTAGGTGCGATAAGTTATTACATGTTCAGTAACTTTATCAAAGAATATGTATAGCTAAATGCCAATGAAATTTGTTTCCGACATTCACACTTCACGAAGAAGATTCATTTCAATAGGCAAGAAGACTGAATTCCTGGTATTCTAGTTTATATTGGCCTAAAGGCCTTACCTTTTCTGTTTGACCAATGTGCGAGATTGCTGAAAGAAACAAAAGAAAAAGGAAGCAATCAGTACAAAAATTCAGATTTAAAACAAAGAAAGATTGTTTCTAGCTGACCATGAATCTTGGTATCCAAGTTGTTATAGTCCAGTAGAGGTGAAACTGTATCTTGCCTGTGACGGATGCAGCTCCACCCAACAGATCATAGAGTGATTCCAGAAAATCAACATAAAACGAGATAACACCTGCAGCAGTATCAACATAATCAACATAACTTAATTAATAGTCGCTTCACTAACACCTCAAAACATAAATTCACTGGCTTACAAAGTATAACAACCTGGATTTCCAGGAATAAACAAGACATGAAACTTCGGGTCCTTGGCATGAATTTCCAGCAGATCCGTCTTATAACTGGCCCATCATTACACGCACAAGATGAGACGCTAACAGTTTCTTATGCACACATGACTTGATCTTTAATTCAGGTGCTCATTTCTCACAAGTCAAAAGCGAATGGATAGTAAGTAAAACACCAATCAGCACAGTATCATTGGTAACCCCGTGGGAGTACCAAAAAATGCTACCCATCCTACCTTACTAAATTCATTTTCCATAGAAAATTCATTTATAGAAAAGCTACATTAAAATCACTATAACCAGATTTGAAGTTAAGACATTTTTAAAATGCTTCAAGAACTCCTAACAAAAAGAAAATAAAAAGTTTTAACTCTCCAACTACTCCCTCAGTCCTAATTTAGGTGGTGGTGTTTGACTTAACACAGACTTTAAGAAAGAAAGACTTTTGAAACTTGCGGTTAAAACAAGTTATAGACAATTTTGTGGCTATAAATCATCTCAGCTAGGGTAAAATGTGAAGGTTAAAGTTAAATTATTTTTTTTAAAAAGGAAATATGACATTCTTTTTAGGAACACTATAAAAAGGAAAGTATGGTGATAATTTCTACACCAAACGAACTAGATTAGTAAAACATAAATTCACTATACAGAATGATGAATGTGCTTCATATTGCAACTCCAACAATTGGGTCCAAATTAACAGAGTCTTCTACTATCTCAATCACATTGGTGTTTATCCATATTCGTAACACTGTGTGGAAACAGAATGGAAACACATAATCAACATCCCTTATCTGCGTTAAACTACAAATAGAAATAAAAAAATTAAGAGTCAAAAGACAGTGAGAGTGCAACGATACCCTGAAACGCTGCATAGCCGAAAACTTGCACGATGTCTTTTATCAATCAGACTCAGATTTTCGGGACCCATTTGTGAATTTCTGCACTTGGATGAAATTAGTCTCCTGAAATAAATAAATAAATAAATAAATAAATAAAACACAAAAAGAAGAATGACGATATGGTTTTTTTTCCTCACACACACAAAAATGGAGTACATGAAAAACGGCGATTAAAACATGAATTGGGTATTGAAAAGGGCGTAGGAACCTGTACCTGGAGTGGAAGGAGAAAGATCGAGAAATGGGAGGAAGAAGCATGGATTCTATCGAACTCTGTTAATATAGGGGATTTAGTGGGAGTCTGGTATGGACTGGTCGTTAACTCGTTACTCCGTAATGTTAATGCTAATAACTTTTTGTCTTTTTTGGGGTCTCCCTTTTAATTCTTTCTGCTGGTTAGGACCACCGGGGGCGAAGCTATAGCTATACTCTGGTAAGGGTGATTATCCTTCCTCGAAAAAATTGCACGTATAAATAAGTAAAATATTAAATTTTTAAAATATATAGTAACATGTATAAAATATTTTTTGTAGGGAATTTTTTTTACTTCTTTCAAATCTGAACACAATGACCACCTTCTTGGGATCTGCAATTTGATTAGACATTTAGTTAGCATCAATATTAGTCGTTTGCTAAGATGCATTAGATAAAATAATGCATGCATTAGCTTTGTGTATTAATAATACCTTGTTCGGTACACATTTTGAACATATGCAATAGTTATGCAAGCATTAGTTATATACCCTAATGCATAGAAAACCATGGTATTAACAAGGCAAAATACATACTTCGCCCATCGACCTTGTCCCCAAATTCCGCTTACACACCTATTAAAGACGGAAATTATATTACACACCAAAATTTTTAAAGGTGTGTCAATTACACACCACTTCGGTGTTTGACCACATCTGCTTAAAGATTGCTATTACACGCACCAATCAGCATCTGACACGTGTCATAAATCAAAAAAAAAGAAAAAACACTGGAAAAAAATCTCTCCCCCCCCCCCCCCCCCCTCCACACCCTCTCCTCATCTTCCCAAAGAAAAAAATACAGAAAAGAAAAAACCCCACCCCCTCCTCATCTCCACAACCCCATCATCTTCTCCACCACCACCATAGTACCACCAACTGTTCCACTACAAGCACTTTCTTCCTAACTATAGATTCAACTCTTTGCCCGATTTTTAACAAGTTTTAACAACATATATCACAAATTCTTATACAAATTTCAAATTCAAGCTCAAACCCAAAGCTTCAAACTTGTTAATGGTATTTTTTGAATTTTTTCAAATTTAATCACCTAAGCAAATTTTTATTCAACAATAATTACGAATTCAAACTAATTTTCTAGGTCATGGAACCACAAAATCAACAAGACACAATTAAATTTTCAAGCTTTTTCGAAAGGTCAATAATGCTGATTTTTACAAGACCCAATAGCTTCTCTTTTTTTCTTCTTTTTCTTTTTCTTCTTATTCATGGGGGTTGGTTGGAAAGTCGAAACATGATGGGAGTAAACAAAACTAGGATGGAAGTTTGGGAAGAAGACCGGGGGGGGGGGGGGTGGGGGGGTACGGTTGGGTCGTGGGTAGGGAAAGAAGTAAGTTTGGTTTTTTCTCTTAA